AAAAAGTTATAAAATGATGTTGGAGGATGGAATAATTTGAAATTTTGTAAATAACAAAGTGATAATTTGAAAATTTTAATAAAAAAATAAGTAAGAAGGATAGCAATCAAAATAAATTATAAATATAAGGTGAAAGTTTTGAAATATGCAAAAATTTTCAAAAAATTTTATTCACGCGATATTTGAGATATTTATAAGCAGAATACTTTTCATTTACCTGAAAGGAGTGAAAAAGAATTTTTTTCTTTTTCACGAAAGAAATTTCTCCAATAATATGAAAAAGATTTGAAATTGGAAAAATGCAAAATGGTCAATTTATTCCTATCAGAGACTATGAAAGCTAAAAAAAAAAATTATCGTTAAAATTTTCCAATTTATTTATGATATGTAAATTTTTCGATTAATATTTTCCGGATAATATTCTGCTTATTAAATTATTTACAGTTTGTAAATATGTATTTTGAATGCTATCGCATGCTAGTAATACTTTGTTTATTAACGGTATTTCGAAGTTCGATGAAATTTGCTTGAAAAAAATGAAAAATTAATTATCCCGAAGTATTGTAAGTTATTTTTAACAAATTGATTAAAATTTTAAGATTTTAAAATTAATTATTTTCAAGTATACCAATATCAGACATTATACTAAGCTATCTACCTTTTCCTTTTCTTTTTTTTCTTCTCTCTCTCTCTAATTAAAATAAACTAATTAATAAATTAATATAAATGATAAATCTATTACGCATGATATTTTGGCATTGTTTATTTCATTAATTAAAAGATTAAAATTTTCTAAGATCTTTATCTTCGTATAAAATTTAGTTTATTTCTGTTGTTGTTTATGAAGAAGAGAATGGACATAATTTGCATTATTATTTTTAAGAAAACAATTATTTCCTATGAATGTGACGTTTAATAGCAATAGCATATGTTGATAACTTTATCATGATAATACTTCATTAATTGATAATATCGATGATAACACTTAATTTCATGAATATTATAATCGATTCATTAAGTGATAACATCAATGATAACTTTTAATTTGCATAAATATTGTAACCAATTCATCCAATTAATTCATTTTTTTTCTTTAGTACAAAATTTAACATTTTTAAACTAAATTAATCTAAACTTTTTAAAGTTTTTCTTTCTTTTTTTTTTTTAGAAAAACGTATAAAATGAAAACTTTCTTCTTTTTTTTTTGAAAAAAAAAGTTGTATCATTTTGAAAAGAAAAAAAAACAACAATGTTTTGATAGAAAAAAAAAGATACAAATGAAAAGAAATATGCTTTTACATAATATCACATTGAAATATAACGATTGGTTTATTTCTGGCTTAAGCCATAAATTTTAAAGAATAATGTCTTGGGATTATAACATAGAAAAGAAATATCACACATAACTTAGAGAGTAGTAAATCTTCAATATTTGATAGTATAAATTTAGATGAAAATGCTACTTTCTCACATTTTCTTCATTTTCTCTTTAATTAGCTATGAAAGATAATTAGTTAATTAATGCATCTTTCTTCCCTCACTATGAACATTATTATTTACAAGCTAATATCGCCACCATCAGTGATATATTGTTGAGGTTTGATTCAAAAGGATGAAGAAGGGAATATGAGCTAAATGAAAAAAAAAAAAGTCAGAAATATCAGTTTATCAATACATTCTTATCTATTCCTGTATTTTAATGAATTAAACTTATATATTTATATTGTTAATTATCATGATATTTCCTTGTCATCTATTATAATTTTATCACTACCTTACTAGTATTCATTCATTCATACATTCTTTTCCAATTTATAAGTTTTGATTTAAGTTTAAACTTTTTGACTTTTATTTTATTTAAAAAAATTGCTAAAATTTAATGATAACAATACTTTCAGTCATATCATCTTTGGATGGTAATCGTTGAAATTTTTGGCAAAAATAATTTCTCATAGCACAATCGATGTTTAGGAAAAATTGAATGTATGTATTTTGAAAAATGATTACAATTAGTAAAAGATTTCCAATCTTCTAGTATTTATTAATTCTTATGATTTATAAGTTTTGGGAACAAAAAGAATGCTTTTTTTTTTCAAATATTGCTATGTATCTAGTTTTTTTTTTTTTTAATTTATATTTCTAAATTAATTGAAAAATTTCGACGATAAACGAAATTTTTACAACTATTACTGATTTATGGATAATTTGTGAGGAATTCTAATGAATTCGAATTCTATGGTACACCAAATCAAATATTGGCTTCAAACAATACGATTATTATTATTATCATTATTATCATCACAATCATTAGAATTGAATGAATTTACATCAACCAAAGCTATTAACGTCAGTACCAGAAAGCGATATCGAAGACGAATCAGTATCTACCAGGATAACATCCTCACCTACGGTTCGATTAATTAATTAAATAATACTGCA